ATGATGTGAGAGAGACGCATGCTTGGTTGCCTCCTGCACAAGCCCCAACCAGGGCCGGGGATCGAGCCAGCAACCAAGGTGCATGCCCTTGGCCGGAATCGAAGCTTCAGTCCACGGGCCAACTAACCACTGAGCCAAACCGGCCAGGGCCCGTTCCTTTCTCTTTTACCTCCCGACCACAGTGTATCTTCTTTCTCTTTGTTCTTTTGTGATTTATATAATTTGAATGTTTACTCTGGGCCAGGTACTGTGCTTAACCTCTGTATATGCATCAGGTCATGGTAATCCTTAGGACACTGGAAGGTAAATGGTAATATCCCCAATTGTACAAGCAAAAAAACTGAGGCTTTGAGTGCTTATTTGAGCAAGATTGAGACCTGGGTCTGTTTGGCTGCAGAGCTGGTGCCTCTTATAAAAATAGTATCCATCACTTATTAAAGTGATTGTAAAGGTGTAGAAGACTCCAAGGTCTCTGAAGTCAAACTTATTTTCATATTAATACTGACAAGGTACTTGCCATACATTGTGCAAAAGCAGTGGTGGGTAAAACTCCTGGTACTTTAGCCTGAATCAAGAAATCAAGATTTCACACCAGACTTTAGGAGAAACCATCATATTCTTTACCACATACCTCCACTTGCAATTTAAAAAAAAATTATTATTATTTTTTTTTATTTCAGAGAGAGGAAGGGAGAGGGAGAGAGAGACAGGAACATCAGTGATGAGAGAGAGTCATTGGTCACCTGCCTCCTGCATGCCCCCTACCAGGCATCTAGCCTGAAACCCGAGCCTAGACCAGGAATCGAACTGGGATCTCCTGGTTCATAGGTCAGTATTCACCCACTGAGTCACACTGGCCTGGCTCCACTTGTAATTTTTTGAAGAGCCTGTTTCACTTAAGAGTGTAATTGATGAAGCAGTAAAAATATTTTTTAAAAAATCCTGGCCCTTGATTACATTTTTTAATATGCAGTGTCAGGAAAGAGGAAATACTTAAATGTTTACAAAGTACTGTATACTGAAGCATGATGGGTTGTTTTAAGAAAAAGGATTTGTGTGATTGAATTGAGTACTGAACTAGCCATCTCTTTCGTGGAACATCATTTTTTAAATTCTAAGGACTGACAAGCTAATTACATACACTGGTGTTGGCAGACATTTTCTTGAAAGTGAACAGAGGAAAAGAACTGGTAGTCTTTGCTGCTGATCACAAAAGTTGGTTTCAAATGAAAATTAGAGTTTTGGAAAATGTATGTCTGCCTCAGTGAACTTAACAGTTTCCCAGTACTTCAAAGACTATAAGGAAATCAATCATGATAGTAACAGATGATTTTTTAAATACTGTATAATGAAATGTGTTGACATGGTTTGTATAGCTCTGTGAACCAGTCTTTTTTTCAAATAATCAATGCATGATGTTACAAATTTTTACAAGGGTAAAGGATCAATTAAAAAGCTAACATGGATCGATGGATTTTCATGTAACAATGCAAAAAGGTTATAGTTTTAGTTTCCACATTGCTACTAATCTTTAAGAAGCTACCACTTGTTGAGTTTTGGTGTAGTATCACAAAATGATACTGACATTATCTGCAAAAGCTATTAAAATACTAGCTTTTCCACCCTGCTGGCTTGGCTCAGTGGTTGAGCGTCAACCTATGAACCAGGAGGTCACAACTCGATTCCTGGTCAGGGCACATGCCTGGGTTGTGGGCTTGATCCCCAGTAGGGGGCCTGCAGGAAGTAGCAGATCAATTACTCTCATCACTGATGTTTCTATTTCTCTTTCCTTCTCCCTCTCCCTTCCTCTCTCTGAAATCAATAAAAACTTTTTTTTTTAAAACTTGTTTTTCCAACTACAGTGTGTGCAAGATTAGCTGTTCTTCACATTATTCAATTGGAACAACATCACCACAGGTTAAATGCAGAAATTAGAATCCAGCTGTCTTTTATTTTAAAAAAATTTTTTTTAATATATCTTTATTGGGAGGGTCATCAATAATTTTTAAGAGTGTAAAAAAGGGTCCTGAGACCAGATAGTTTGAGAATTGCTAATTTACCACATGCTGGGCACATTTCATAAATTATCTGTTGTTTTGGGACTCTAACAGATACGAAAATTGAAGCTCAGAGGTTAAAGATGAAGCTGAACCAGGACTTATTTATTTATTCATTCAATACTCTATGCCAGCTATATGTCAGGAACATGTTTTAGGTGAAAAAGAAGTCCACAAAAAGTGTACATTGAGAACTTTTTTAAAATTTATTGATTTAGAGAGAGAAACATCAACCCATTGTTCCATGTATCTATGCATTTATTGGTTGATTCTTGTATGTACCCTGACCGGGGGTCAAACCTGCAACCTTGGAGTATTGGGATGATGCTCTAGTGAGCAACTGAGCTACCCAGCTACCTGGCCAGGGCCTGAGAACTTTCTTAATTCTAGCGTATGAAAGCACAGCACAGACATGCTAGCCTTATTGGTGATTCCTATCATTTATGAAAAGTCTCAAAGCAAGAATTGTGAGCCTATTAAAAACCTGGTTGCGAGCTTAGCAAAGTTAAGTATGAGATGTAATTGTAGTAAAAATACCATGTATTTTAAGCTTTCAGAATGTTTTTATATAGTTCCATTTGTTTTCAACAATACTGAAGTGGGATGGCAGGAAGTATTATTCCTTCTACAAATAGAAATGAAGTCTTAGGAGGGTTAAATAGAACTGGTAATGAGCAGATGTAAGTCTTCTGGGTCATTGATAATTTCTGTTGTTAGCTTCATAGTAGGAACTTGGTGAGCTAATAAACAGGTAGTAGTCACTCCTTTATGCTCCACTAGAACTCCACTGAGATCTCTCTCAGCGATTAACATATTAGCACAGCTTCCCAACTTTTTTGTCTTTGCTTGACTGGAAATTTCTTTGATGGTAGAGACTTCGTATTTGTTTTGTGCCAGTGGCCTACTGAGAACTTGATTTTTTCATAAATGTTAACGAAGTGGGTAAACAGGTCACCATGAGATTCTATCTGAAATAAAAGTGTGCATTATTTATGTTTACAATTAGTTACCAAATTGTGCATCATTGTCCTGAAAAGGGTGACTTTCTAATCCCTTTGTGCTAGAGAAAGTCCTGGAAACCTTTAAGATTATTTAAATAATCCTTTAATAAATATTTGCCAGAATAGTCACGGGGATGTCAAGTACAGCATAGGGAATACAGTCAGTAATATTGTAGTAACTGTATATGGTGTCAGATGGATACTAGATTTATCGGGGTGATCACTTCATAAGTTTTATAAATGTCTAATGTCTAATCATGGGGTTGTACACCTGAAACTAATATATTGTACGTTAACTGTAATTTAAAAATAAAAAAATACTTAAAAAAATTTTTGACTACCTATTTTCAAGGTATTGGGCAGGATGCAGAGGCGAACAGCCCTTTTTGTTAAGTGTGATAAGGTTTCATTTGACTGTTTAAAATGGAGCACTTCAGCGAGATGACATAATCTAGAACAGTATTTCATTCACATTTTAGAGGTATGAGCTTACAGAAACCTTCAAAATTTTTGTGTTTTTTTTTTAGTATGTAGATTACAAGTGAACTTGAGAAATCTGTTAGAATTCTGTAAAAATATATCATGAACACATTAATTTTTTCATTAGATTATTATTTCCCATTTCATATCTAAGAAAACAGTGTATAAATTTCTAACAGGTTGAATATAGTTGCTATACATTAAACTGTACATATTTAAAGTGTACAGTTTGGTAAGTTGTAACGCGTACCCCATAAGCAAGCGAATGAACATACTCATCGCTCCCAAAAGGTCTTGGGGCTTACTTGTATCCCTCCCTCCACCTTTCCCTGCTCACACTCTGTACCCACCTAGGCAACTACTGATCTCATTTGTGTAAAATTTTAGAAAATGCAAACATATAGTGACAAAACATAGTCTACTCATTTTCATCACTGACATTATGAGGGAGAGAAACTGCCAAAGCCTTCCAATTTCTTCATTGACCTTTCCTGGGTTACCAGTGGCAGCACATAGTAGGTACACTTCGCATAAATAAGCTACCACGGTTACTTACTAAAATTTTCAGAAAGCAGTGGGGGTCTTTTGTTACTCTACAAAGAAGAAATAAATGACTGGCTACTTGTCCTTATATCTCTTCACATCATGTTGTATGCTTCCATGAAATATGATTTCTCTCCATTTGTGGATTGGGCTTTCTCAATATAGTAGTGCTTTTCTTGAACTGAACTGGATTTTTGATATTTCTCCTTGAAACATATGTCTGATAGTAGTTCTGAAATGACACTTTCTGCCTACATAGAAATATTATGAGTACTTAAGGTATTAAATAATTTTTTTTGGTAGAGATTTGAGTTCCTGATGAATGATTTGCTCTGCACCTTCTTACTATGGTGATTTTTGTTTTTGTTGATTTTGGTGCTAGATCTCACCCTCATAATCACTGTGTAGGAGGGTATCAGTATAAAACAATGAATTGAAATTACTTAAAATTGAATTTTTAAGTGATACAGGGTTTTTTGGTGGTTTTAGTGTTTGATGTTGCTGCAAGGTTGTTACCCTGAGTAATTGAAATCTGACTTTACCAAGGGTAAAGGTGTTCTCTTAAGAAATGAGTATCATTTTGAAACAAACACTAAACTAAACAAAACTCTGTTCTTGGTGAATGCCCATATGCTTTCTGGAAGCTTCTCTGAAATTAATGAGCATTGTTAAAAAGATGAAGGAAATGTATGCACTATGAAGTTTGATACTGTAATTTAGAATATCTAGTTTTGTAAGTATTTGTTACTCCAGTTCCCATCCTTCTAGTAATTGAAATACCTAAAGAATGAAGAGGAAAAAAACTATACTTTCTTGTCCTACATAATTCCAGTAGAGATACTAATTCTTAGAGCTACATCTATATTTTCAAGCACATCAACTTTAAATAGAAGAAAATACTGAGGAAAACATAAAAAAGTTTTTATATACTTTTCCTTTTAAATAGATGAAGAACTTCCTGATTACATTATGGTGATGGTGGCCAACAAGAAAAGTCAGGACCAAATGACAGAGGACCTGTCCCTGTTTCTAGGGAACAACACAATTCGATTCACCGTATGGTATGTTTCTGAATATTTACCCCTTAGACCAAAGTTTGGCACAAGTCAGAGTAGGTATTCTGTCTGGAAAGAGGTTCCTGACAGGAGAGTCAGATTCATTGTGGAGACGCAGGTTGTGATCAATGAGAGCACAGCCTCTGGAGCCAGACTGCCAAGGTTAAATCCTGGATCTGCCTCTTGAATTAGTTTCTCCGCTTATAAAATGGGAATAGTAAATCACCTTTATAGGATCCTTGTGAGAGGGTTAAGTGAGCTGTCACATGTAACGTGCTCACAGCTGTGTCTGGCCTACAGCAAGTCCCTAGTATATGTTAACAGTAGTTACTATGTTTCTCTTGTAAACATCTACATCTTACCATTCCTTTCCTCCAGCCTAAACCAGTTGCAGATGTTTTTTTGGACTGGCTTGACCTAAATTGCTTTCTCAATGAGTTAATTCTTAGAGGGCAAGGATTTTGACAAAATTTTAAATCATTTTTTAAATGTTTATGACTTTTTGAAATTTAGAATTTTAAAGTAGGCAACTTAGTGTTCAAATATAAGTTAATATTAAAATTTACAATGTCCTTTTTCAGGCCACATAGGCCTTTAGTTAAAAGTACTGACTAAAAGCACAAGATTCAGTTTAAGAAGGCAGGTCAAGTGCTGGGGGGGTGATGATGTGGCTGAGAATAGAACAGGAAGGATTCGTATAAGGCCCTTCACGTGGGAACCCCAGTTACAGCACAAGTGGGCGATGGGGCAGAAGGTGAGTGAGCAGAGCGGCCTGCTTATTTGAATGGCAAGAGCCTGGGACAGGGAATAGGAGGCAGTGTGGAATACGAAGCTGGTTAACTTTCTGCCTTTAATCAAGTTGGTTTTGAAGGTGTTTTGCCCAGCAGGTAAATGAATGTTTCACACCTCTTTTGAAGCTTTCTTGAAACTCCACACAGAATTCTGTAGTTTATATTACAGTTTTGAAGAACATGGAGTGCAGTGGTTGATCCTCAAAAGTTTTGGTACATAGTGTGTGTGAGAACTAACCCACTTGTTACAGTTTGTCCCCAGAATTTACCCCTTGTTCCCTCTAAAAAAGATCATGGTGTTTTGATGGGAAATTACCATTGTCATGAACGTTTTTTGTTCGTTTGTTTTTAATTCTTTAGCAGTTCAGGTACTTGTTTCATGTACACTTTTATGGCCTGACTTCTGGTTTAACCTTTGGATCACTTTAGGTTTGAGTCCCTCTAATTTAATATGGGAGATTGACCTAGTGGATTATTTCTCAGAGAACTTGATGGACTGTGTCAGACAAATCTCTTACATAAAGAGACTGCTAACTGAATTTGAATATAATATCAGATTAATTCAGCTTTTTCACATTGCCATAAATTCAGTTCTTGAACACACACTGACGCAAGTGATGGTGTCTCTCTTTTGGCACTTTGCTTTCCTAAGTTAAATGTTCATTGATACCAGTCCCAAATGGACTACTATTCTTTGGAGCCCTGCAGTAATTGTGTCCTAGGTGACAGTGGCATGTGACTGGGTTCTGGGTGAAACATAATGAGTTGTTTCTGGTGTTTCAATAGGCATGGCCCCTTGGAAGGATTGTAAGGCAAATTTGCCTTGTACGTCACTGCTAAAATAAAACAGGTTATATTATAAGCAAGGTTATGGCCTGTGCTTGTTTACGGCATTTGTTTTGTAAATAATAGTTAACAGTGAAATGTGATAGTATATATTTTGAGATTTTTAAGTTTTTCACCTCAGAATTAATTTTTTTCAGCATAGAAAAAATTTAAATGAGTAGGTAAAAGTAATTTAAACCGTTCTAAACAATTGTAATAGTAAACTAGTATGTGCTTATGATGTTTTATCTTTTACTGTAAGTTACATTGCGTCGTTAGGCTTTTTTAAAAATAATTTTATTGATTTTTTTTTAGAGAGAGAAAAAGGGAGAGGGAGAAGAGAGAAGCATTGGTGATGAGAAACATTGATTGGCTGTCTCCTGCATGCCCCTCACTGGAGATTGAGCCCACAACCTGGGCATGTGCTGGGATGACTCTCAACCAACTGAGTCACACAGGCCAGGGCATGTCTTTGGTCTTTATGAAACAAAATAACATTCTTTGTAGATAAGACTGTGTGGTCCAATCATATTCTTGCCCTTGTTTTTGCAGAGGCTAGATGTTGAAAATGGTGATGAAAAAATGACTTTTGATTGGCTTTTTTAGTATTCATGTAAAGCCTTTTTTTAAATGTTAAACTTAATTTCAATACCATTTGTTCATTAAATACCTTTTAGTACCGTTTATCAATATTTATCTAAAGATTGATTTTATAATGTCATCAAATTTAGAGTGACAGTTGAAATAAAATACTGGTTAAAGAAAGTTTTAAATTTTTTTTGTTTTTTTTTTTTTAGGCTTCATGGTGTATTAGATAAACTTCGCTCTGTTACAACTGGTAAGGTTCATAAAAGCCCTGTTACAACTGGGCTTTTTTTGGAATTTGCTATAACATATAATTCTTTTCTTTCTAAAGCCATTTAAACTGCTTTGGGGAGAAAAACCCATAAATTTGAAAACAGTAGTTCATTTGAACTTTTTTAGGAAGCACTTTTTTTTTAAGGTTTTTTGATTGATTTTTAGAGAGAGACACACACATATCTATGTGAGAGCTGAACACTGATGGGCTATCTCCTGCATGCCCCCTATTGGGGTTCGAGCCTGAAACCTGGGCTTGTGCCCTGATTGGGAATCAAACCTGTAACCTTTTGGTGCACAGGACAATGTCCAACTAACGGCCACACTGGCCAGGGCAGGAAAAGCACATATTTTTGTGAATTTAAGAGCAATAAATTAATATAATTCAAAGATAATTTAAATGAGAGAAGGGCAATTATGCAGTTTATCCTAAGGAAGTAATTATAAAAGTGTGCAACAATTCAGTCTCAAGAATGTTTCAGTATTTTATAATTGAAAATTACTTAAAAGTCCAGTAATAGTAAATTGAATAAATTATGATATTACTATGTATGGAATAATAGTCATTAAAAATGTTTTGGAAGACCATGTATTGCTTTTAAATTGGTGATGAACAAGGGAAAGGATCAAAGTAATAAAAATAGTTTGAAAGGATTATGTGTTTTTCATTCCAGATCCCTCTAGTCTAAAGTCTTCTGATACTAACATATTTGATAGTAACGTGCCTTCAAGCAAGAGCAGTTTCAGTAGGGGAGATGAGAGAAGGCACGAAGCTGCAGTGCCACCCCTTGCAGTTTCTAGCACTAGACCTGAGAAAAGAGATTCCAGAGTTTCTTCAAGTTCACAGGAGCAGAAAACCACTCATGTCAGGTAATAGTCCTATGTAGACCTTCTGTGGGCAGATGGGGAAGTATGTATGTGACATTTACATTAGCTTTTTTAGATTTAAACTGCCATTTTCAGGGAATTTTGCAGGTAGTGAGGTAATCATGAGCAATTCCTTTAAAATAAAGAATGGATGAGACCAAAGTATGGTCATTTATCTCAAGTATAGTAAATCAAAGTTTTTTTAAAAACGAATGCAATTTCAAAGTAGATTTTAATGGACTACGTAAGAGGAATATTCAGACTTTTCCAATATAATTTAAGTAACTATTCTTTGACAGTTTGAACATCTTCCTCTAAATTGGTTGTAATGTGTGTGTATGTTTAATAGACAGAGCTATGATGATGGAGCTGCAACCCGACTAATGTCAACAGTGAAACCTCTGAGGGAGCCAGCACCCTCTGAAGATGTGATTGATATTAAGCCAGAACCAGATGACCTCATTGATGAAGACCTCAATTTTGTGCAGGAGAATCCCTTATCTCAGAAAAAACCTACAGTGACACTTACATATGGTTCTTCTCGCCCTTCTATTGAAATTTATCGACCACCTGCAAGTCGAACTGCAGATAGTGGTGTTCATTTAAACAGGTTGCAATTTCAGCAGCAGCAGAACAGTATTCATGCTGCCAAGCAACTGGATATACAGAACAGCCGGGTATATGAAACAGGACGTTTGTGTGAACCAGAAGTGCTTAACAGCTTAGAAGAGACTTATAGTCCCTTCTTCAGAAACAACGCAGAAAAAATGAGTATTGAGGTTTGTGTTACTTGTAAATCTTGGCTAGTTAGGCTGAAAATGCACAGTTCTTTATACCAAATAGTATGTCAAATAACTGAATACGTATTGCAAGTTTATTTTAAACTGATTTCTATGCTACTCATCATATTATACACCAATCAGATTTTCCTCTCCATTACTGACTACAGGTGCATATTACATCTTGTTTATTTTCATGGGATGCCAACACGTGAGAAAGTTTTTAACCTTACCTTACAGTTTTGGTGGGATTTTTAGATCAAGTTTAGATTTTTTCGTGGCATTTACTAGTAAAGAAGTCAGAGTATCTATTTTGTTAGTTTCCTCAACAGGCTATGTGCTGCTGCTTATAAATGAATGTAAAGCACTAGTTTTTGTTTTTGTTAAAGGTTGGCTATTAAGATAATATTTATATTTTTATAAGAAACCAGGGAATAGCCCATGACTTTAATATGATTGGCTTTTTCTTAAAAAGAAAAAATTCTGTGGTAGAACTTTGTTATTTTCTGAGACTAGGTAAGCATGAATTTATCTGATTGCAGGAAGAAAACTTTCGGAAGAGAAAGTTGCCTGTGGTAAGTTCAGTTGTTAAAGTAAAAAAATTCAATCATGATGGAGAAGAGGAGGAGGAAGATGATGATTGTGGGTCCCGAACAGGAAGCATCTCCAGCAGTGTGTCAGTGCCAGCAAAGCCAGAGAGGAGGTACCTGAACATGTCTGTAATTAATTGTGAATTGCGCGGTGAAGTCATCTAGGTTTCTTGAAGAGGATATCATAAAAATAATCTAATAGCTTGTAAGACTTTTCCATTGGTTTTTGAGTAAAACATATTAATGAAAGAGAAATTGCTTAAAATTGGAGAAATTGCAGAGAATATTAAAAACTAATAGGGTGAAAAACATCAGATACATTATTTTGAAAAGTTAATAAGGTTTCAGTCTAGTTGGCATTTCCTAAAAACTACAGCTAGTCTGTTCAAAACCTAAGAGGAGGCCCTGCTGAGTAGCGCAGTTGGTTGGAGTGTTGTCCTGTACACCAAAAGGCTGCGCTTCGATTCCCAATCAGGGCAGCATACCTGGGTTCTAGTTTGATCCCTGGTTTTGGCCCCTACGGGAGGAAACTGACAGAAGTTTCTCTCACTCCCTCCCTTTCTCTCTAAAATCAATAAAAACATATCCTCGGGTGAGGATTAAAAAAAAAACCAACCTGAGAGAAGGCTGTAGTAAGGGCATGATGGCTGGCTGGCACATAAAGAATTCAAATCTATAATCAGTATTTTTCTTAACGTTTTTAGACCCTCACTTCCTCCTTCTAAACAAGCTAACAAGAATCTAATTTTGAAGGCTATATCTGAAGCTCAAGAATCTGTAACAAAAACAACTAACTATTCTGCAGGTAATTTAAATGAATTACGTTTTCATTAAGAAAGAGATTTCTATAACTCTTGAGTAAGCTAGTAAAGGTTGCTCCCCAACTTGTGGTAAAAAAAGATGCCTACCCAATGTCAAGACCAAGATGAGGTTCAGAGAAGAATGGTTTTAAAAGATTTGATCAGTTTGAGAAACTTTCCCAACTGTTAGTAGAATTTAGTTCTTTGAGCATCTGTAATATCTTTTGCTCTTTCCAGTGTGTGTGAAATAATATAATAGAAATTATTATATGTTTTAAAACAAAGGAGATGAGTCAGCGATAATCAGATTGTACAGAAAGCTCATTCTGAAATGCAAACCAAATTATGGGTGTCATATTGTCATTAAATTCTGCACTTCGTGCCCCACATGCTAGAGCTGTGTGTGAAATTTCATTAAGTTGCAATGATTACCCACTTTAAAACTTATTTGTGACCCCTTCCTGAAGTGAAGTAAACTATAGATTTTCTTTAGATCCTAGTAGTCATCTGTCCCCCTGCTTTTCCACATCCCTAATTCAGCCTCTGAACATGAAATTGAACAGGTTTTGGCACATGGGATAGGGAGTGTCAGGCCAAGGCCTATACTCGGACTGAATGATTTTTCTGTTTACATTCCCATTTTTGGTCTGTTACAATACTGTTTAAAATGATGAGAAATTTAGAGAATTTTACTTACTGTGGCCTTGAAAGTTCCTGCTTTTATAATAGTTGGAGATGGCTTAAGTTTTTTTGAGAAATAGCATTAAAATTTTTTTTTACCCTAGTTTATCTAAATTACCATTTGAAGTTGTTACAGGATCGTGAAACATTTGGTTTAAAATGAATACATATGTGCTTTAGGGTATACGTGGCATGTGGTTTAAAATGTGTAGGTGTTGTTTATATACATATTAGGTATTTAAGTCAAGTTATCTCTCGAGAATATTGTAAGAAAAAATGAGGTGGTATCTGAACTGTTACATTGAGCCCCTCATGTTCTAAAGTGAAGGAGGCATTTATGTTTAATATGATTGTTGAGTTTGCTGTATTACTACATTTGCATTTCCATCGTTTTTGCTTTTTATATAAAAGTCTCACAGAAACAGACACTTCCAGTTGCTCCCAGAACTCGAACTTCTCAAGAAGAATTGCTGGCAGAAGTGGTCCAGGGGCAAAGCAGGAGCTCTAGAATCAGTCCCCCCATTAAAGAAGAAGAAGCAAAAGGAGATAATCCAGAAAAGGGCCAAGGTAACAATTTAAATGATGCTTCATTCTCTGTTACACTTCTTCATGAGGCATTCAGTATTCCAATGGGTGTTTCTGAAATGTTATATTATGAGAAAAGTGCTCACTAGCCCAAAAATAGAATAAGAAGGGACCATGAGGAATCTATATCTACATTTTTCAGAGCTTTAAAAACCTTTTTATCATGGAAATTTTTAATGTTCTCAAAAGTGGAAAGAATAGTGCAATGAATTTCCATGAACTCAGCCATTAAGCTTTAATACTGTCAGCATTATATACCAGTCTGTAGAAAGTGCCAATTTAAAGATTCATAGATGTCTACATTATAGCTTTCCTTCTTTTGGTTAATTCTACCCCTGTTCTCTTGACTTTGAAATCTTATCTTTAAATCTCCCCTTTCTGAGCATCCTTTCTCTGTGACCTGCCAGATATGCCTTATTGTCCCAGTGACCCTACTTCATCCCCTTGTGCCTGATGCACTACAGTTAGGTTCCAGCTGATCTTTGTTTCCTTTCTCTCAACCCCCATCCCCAACTCTTGCACAAACACTGTCCATCTAAAGTAAGACTTACGTGACTTCTTTGTGAGAGCATTTATAGTGTCCCCACCCACTCATACCCCCCAGTGCGTGGCCCAGGACTGATGCAGTCAGCTTGGCCTTTCTGCACCTTTGTTATCTTGCCCCGGGTCTGCCCAGCCCGTCCCGCACTGCTCTCCACTGTTCCTTCTGTTCCACCATTATGGAAGGTTCTAGTTTCTTCTTTTCCTATGATTCGAATTTAAAAACCCCACCCAAACTATATGCTCATCATGTTGTTTGTAACATGCACTTTGCTAACACTGGAATATGTTTATTATTCCTCTTCAGCCGTGTCCTTTAATAGTTCCAGGCTCATCTCAGATTTACTTGTTTCATGAAGCTTTATGAGTTCATCCTATATTTGTCTCTCTGTTCTCTCTTTTTAAAAAAAAAATATTTGTATTCAGTTTTGCATGTCAGCATTATGTGCAGTTCAATAAGTGATGGACTTGAGTACAGGAAAACCCCAAAACAGCCAGTAGGTTGTAACTGGGAAGTGTGAGTGGGCCAGTTCGTGAAGAGCTTCAGTAAAAGTAGGAATGGCAGTAAGTTGAAGCCCATGATTTCATGATGATATATATATTTTTTGCATGATATTTTTTAAAAGTAGATCCTTAATTGGTCACCTTTTGGAAAATAATAGATACTAAACCAAATAAATAATTGAGCATTTATGCTCTTTAAGAATGGGTAACAGTGGTACAGGAGTTAGCACATATTTTTGTAAATAAAGTTTTATTGGAACCATGCCATGCTTATTCATTTATGTGTCTCTGGCTGCTTTTATACTATAACCGTAGAGTTGAATATTTGCAGCAGACCATATAGCCCACATAAGCTAAAATAGATGTTTGCCAGTTCTTCATATAGCTGATGGGAACATCTTATAAAATCATTCTAGTTGTAAGTAAAACAAAATTAAAGAATTACAGGGTGGTTGTTTTTTTGTTTTTTGCAACTTATAATTAATTAGCGAATCTAGGCACTGTTCATTAAAGGCTACTAAAACATTTTTTTAAAAGGGAAAGCTAGCCATTTCGTGCCTCCTGATGATGGAAGAATGAAACACTACCTTAGTCTTGCCAGACGATTTGAACTTGAGTTATCAAGTCTCTGATCTAGCAGTCAGCTTGCAGGAAGTAGAGCCAGAGAATTATGTCGGTTGAACTGCATCGTGAGTGTGCAACAGGCAAAGTATGTTTTCTGGTAGCTATATGGGTCAAAAAGCCTGAGAAATATAGATTAAAAGACTAAAGGGAGCAATGTTAAGCTCTAGTGTCTAGGGCCGCCTGCTTGTGTGATAAAACCACAAAGAAACTAAGTATTACTATAAAAGGCGATAGTGGTTACTTTTGGAGAGGACTTAATAGGATGGAGCTCATGAGGGGGCTTCTGGGGTGGCTGGCATAGCTCTGTACTCATGGTGGTTGACCTAGATGGTGGTTCTAAGGATGTTTTGCTTTATGAAAAGTTATTAAGCTATTGTTCTGTGTGGTTTTCTATATCATTTTGTTTTAAAATGAAGCAATTGAAGTGCTATCAAGTATCTACTGATGAGGACTGTTATTACTATTACTGGATTCATTCGTTCACAGCAGAAAGTGACAGTCTGCAAACAGCCATTAGTCAATTTGCTTACTGTTTTTACAGTTTTGTCTGTGATAGGTCTTTTAAATTTTTAAATATGCACGTGTATTGGCATGAGTTGTTCATAGTGTTCTCTCATCTCTTCAGCCTTTATGTTTTTGCCAGCCTACCCTAGCACCTCACAGTATTTTGAGTTTTTTCTCTTTTTGTCTGGGATTAGTCTGTCACCAGAAGTTTATTATACCAGGCTTTTCAAAGACTTAGTAACAATAGTTTTGGCTTTATTGATGTCATTATTTTCTTTTGCGTTTTGCTTTTAAAAAATATTTATTGATTTTTAGAGAGAGCGAGAGAAGGAGAGAGAAAGAGAAACATTGATTTGTTGTTTCACTTATTGACGTATTCATTGGTTGGTTCTTGTATGTGCCCTGACGGGGGATCGAACGCGAAAGCTTGGTATGGTGGTGATGCTCTAACCAACTGAGCTTACCCAGTCAGGGTGTGGCGTTACTGTTTTTCTATTTTTTTAGTTTCTGCTCTTATTTTATTTATTTAACTTCTTTATTTATTTTTGTTAATCCTCACCTGAGGATATTTTTTCCATTGCCTTTCAGAGAGTGGAAGGGAAGGGGGAGAGGGGAGAGACAAGGGAGGAATGAGAGTGTGAGAGTGTGAGAGTGTGAGAGTGTGAGAGAGAGAGAGAGAGAGAGAGAGAGAGAGAGAGAGAGAGAGAGAGAGATGATCAGGTGGTTGCGTCCCGCGCATGCCCCAACTGGGAACAGGGATTGAATCTGCAACCCAGGTTATGTGCCCTTGACCGGGAATCGAACCTGTGACCCTTAGGTGTGCAGGCCAACACTAACCACTGAGCAACGCTGGCCAGGGCAATATATTCAGTTTTTAAATTAATTTATCTCAGTCTCTGTCTTTTCTAATGTATATATTTAAGCTGTAAGTCTCTCTTGATATGCTGATTTTACTCCATATCACAAATTTTGATACATAATGTTTTCATTATTCTAGATATCTTTGGTTCCCACTTAGATCTTCATCTTTGTCCTATGAGTTATTTGGAAGTGTTTTTAATTTGCAGTGTATGATGGTTTTGTTTTTGTCTTTTAATCTTTTTTTAAAATATATATGCTCCTGACTTAATTGTTTTGTGGTCAGATAATGTGATATGTATTTTTGAAAGTTGAGACTTAATCGATTTTGTACATTTGTGCATTTTGGAAGAAAGTGGACTCTAATTGTTGGCTTGAGAATTTTGCACTTAGTAGATAAAGCTCTACAGTTAAGATGTTCAAGTCTTGACTTTGATGAGTCCGTGGTCTGCTTGACTCATCAGTAATTGAAAGGTCTTGAAGTTGCCCATCACGATGACTAGTTTATCTTAATTTCTCTGTACTTCTATCAGGTTTTGCTTTATTTATTTTGAGGCTTTTAAACTTGGTGCATGCATACTTAAAATTGTTACACTTTCCCGATGAATTGAACCTTTTATTTTTATAACCTGTACCAAATGATGTTTTATCTTAAAATTTTTTTCTGATATTAATATTGCCATTTATTTAGTATTTGCCTCACCTCTCTGTTTTCCATGCCTTTGTTTTCAGTCTTTTCTATCTTTATGCTTTGGGCATATTTATCTCTTAAGTGTCAAAAAGTTAGATTACTGTTTTTTAATTGTTTCTCAGTTTGTCTTTTATTGGAGAGTTTAAACCATTCACATTTGTCACTATTATTATCTTAACAGAATAATCTATTTTTAATTCTAATCAGAAGAAAACTTATTTGATCCATCTTGCAAGGACATTTGAAATACACAGGGGCAGGTAGAAGTAGGCTTACAGTTACGAGTCCTTGAAATAGTTCTTTCCGTTTTTGTGGTTAATCCTCACCTGAGGATATTTTTTCCATTGATTTTTAGAGAGAGTGGAAGGGAGGGGAGGA